AAAAAAATTACTATGAATTCTATCAATAATTCTTCAACTTTCAAATGCTCAATAAATTCATCTGAAGCATTTGTTTTCACGCCTCCAACATGTGATAATCTATTAAACTCTAAGATTAAAAATTATAAGTCTAACACTCAACCATACAAATCAACTTGTAAGGTAAGTGTTGCCCCAACTTATATACTCTTTAATTATTTTATTTTCAATCGATGTGGGACGTGAAATTTTTTAAAATATTAAACATAAATTTAAATATTTTTTTTTATTTTCCCGCGGATTAAAATTGGCAGGAAAATCTGTAGGAAAAGTTATTTGCGAAATTTTTCTACCATTTAGTAAACATTACTTGCGAATTTATTTTTGCAAGGAAATCTGCAAGAAACAAAATAAAATTTTTACAATATTTTCTGTAAATTTTTACCAAAAAAAATTTCTATGATCATTAAAATTGTAGTAAAATTTGTAAAAATTTCTTGTAGATTATTTTTCATAAAAAAAAAATTGTAAGAAATATCTATAAATTATTTTTCGCAAATAAATTCGTAAAAATATTTTGCGAAATTATTATTGCAAGAAAATTTGCAAAAAAATTCTGCAAATATTTTTTTGTAGAAAAATTTGCAGGAAAATAATACTTTTCTAGTAGTGTTCACTATATATTACTTGAAATCTCCGCTTTAAATTTCTTAGATCACCTATTGGCATTAATCAATACTATTCGGTGTAAATAATTAAACATTTTTATTCATATATATTTTTAATTAAAAACAAAAAATTAAAATATGAGAAATATGTCAATTATGAGAAGATAAATCAGTTATAATTAAATGAGATCTAACAGTTACTAAACTAAAAGGAAGGAGATCATGGAAGTAAGTTATGAAAAAAATATAATAATAGTCACTTTTAGTAATTACTTGCTAACACCTAAATAAAAGGAGATTATGGGGTGACATAATAAAAAATAAAGAGAAGTTCAATTGCTAACAAAGATCAATTTGTTTGACTATTTAAGGGGAAATACTCTCAAAGAAAAAGGTAAGAAGAAAAAAAAAAGAATTTTGCTATGAAAACTTCATAGAAGGTCATCGAGCAGCATACAACAATATTGTAACTATCACCCAAGCTTGCACAAGTATCTTTTTTCTTCTACATGGACAACTACAAAGTTGTAGGTTCATTATTTTGTGTAATTTTTATTTTATTTTTACCTTACATGATCTTGTAAATGTCTATTGATTTTTTATGAAATTTTTTTTAATAGGAAGCGTGAGAAAGTAGTGGTTTAACTCTAAGTAATGTGCTTTTTTTTATTTTTTTTATTTCCTTCTTTTCTTTCATTTACAAATGTTGAAGTTCAAGATTCCAATAAATGTTGCATAGGTTTGTAATTCTCAAACAATATACATGTTAGTTTTAAGTTTTATACTTTTCTTTTCAAACCTTTTAAAATGAGAATATGAACTTAAAATATTGAGTTTTACATTGTTGAATAATAGGTGAGCTACTCTTTTCATTGCTTTATTGTTTCGGTTAGTAGTATCAAGTAAAAATAAATAAAAATTCAAATAGCATTACCCTTTCTTATTAGTTACGTTTTTTCTTTATAATAATGTTCTTATAAAATAATATATGTTAATTGAGTAGTTGATACCACTAAACTGAACAAGACTCATCCTTGTCAAAGTGCCTTTGAAGTACATCTTCCACCAAAGTGTGTCATTTCCATTGCCAATCAACACTTGCAATCGAAAAGTTTTCAAATGTTGATAATCCATCAAAAGGCTCGATCTTTGAGACCAAAAAGTATGGAGGGATAGGCTTTGCTTTTATATTTGAGGGAAATAGTTTGAAATCCCTCAAATACTCTATAACAATCCCACTCCACATCCTCTTTAGGTTAGTAACATGAGCCCTAACCATCTTTTGGACTTCAACATTCCTTTGCTTTACCTTTATGACTTTCTTCGTCATCTTTTCATTTGTTGCCTCAATGCCTCTTAATTGTGCGTTGATGCTCTTTTATCATACCATTTTGTAATATCCTTTGCTCTACATACTAACATAGTCATATATTATAATAAAAAAGATAATAAAAAAAGTTTGAAAATAACTTCATTAAATAAAATTTAGTTTGCGAAACCTCTTGGGTAAAGAACATCATGTCTATAGAGAAAACAAAAGAAAGATGAGGTCCAAAAACTAATGAAATACTAAAAAAAAACACTAACAAATCCATTACAAGTCAAAGAAATTAACATAAGTCCTAAACATGCCACAAACTAGAGAAAACAATAAATCCAAAGTTAAACGTCCCAATATCACATACTATCAAAGCTCAACCTGCCATCACAACACAAGGCCCGGACCTCATATTTGACATGATCGTCATCATGATCCTCATCTACTAAACACAAAAATGCAAGAACAATAGAAAGGAGAGTAAGAAACATCTCACACTTGCAATAGGTGTGAGATATGGCCGGATAGCCACACAACAAGAGCATAACATATACCCCTAAACAATCCTAATAACATTTACATCATGAAATAACTCAATACACACACACACAGACACACACAGACAGACACACACACCCACCCACCCACACGCACACGCACGCACGCACACGCACACATACACACACACACAGGCACACACAGACACATAGACACACACACACACAGACACAGACACACACACAGACACACACACACAGACACACACACACACACACACGCACACATACACAGAGATATATATACACACACACACATATATATATATATATACACACACACATATATATATATACATATATATATACAGGGGACATAGTTACTTTGTCGAACCAAAGATCCCTCATGACTCGTCCCTACATGTTGATAAGGATCTTGCATGATAAACCCCATCCCATTCGGTCCAGGATTATATCCTTGTGGGGACACATGCATTTGTGGATTTTTCCCTAAATAAGGTAATGGAATCTCGACATGTATAGGTTGAGTGGTTTGCCAATTTGGAGGCATCCCCCATGGGTATTCTCGAGTGGCATTCAAAACTTCTTAAGACATGTTTACTTGTCTAGCCACATTCTCAGGTACTATAGGTGGTGGCGTTGCCCCCTTATCAAAATAGTGACATTTTTCACATTAGGATTTGAACTTCTATTTTCTATATCTACTGGAACATCGTTATTTACCTCTCTAGATGTAGACATGGTTCTTCCACTCCTAAGTCTCATAAAACATACCTAAAACTAGTTCAATTATGTTTTCAATTAAACGCGTCCCAGCGGGCGTGCCAATTTGTTTGTGGTGGAATTTGTTTGTGAGTTCTTTTTATTTGAACTAGCACGAAATGATTTCAATTTAGGTATTTTATAATTAAAACTTTCTTAAAAACAGAGTGGCTAATAAGCCTTCGTTTCCAGACTTTCATTAATGATTATTAAGCATAATTATCATGCATGTAAATACTCAAATAAATGGAATGAACAATACATATATTAGCAATACAAATCATTGCCACTTCGCATAATTATCAGGTTACAATATCAGAATTAAACGAACTACGAACTACAAAATTGAAACGAAACTACACTAATCCTAGAAAAAGAAATAAAATGTGGGCAAGAAGTTGTCATACCCAGAAATTCCATGCACGAGAGCCATATGTGCAGGCGGTGAGTGCTTGCTAGTGCAAGTATGATTTTTTCGACCTCTGTGAAGCACTATGCTTCTCATATTTATAGAGCCAGTCGAGAACGGTTCATTTTGTACAGGTCCATCATGGGTGCATAACCGCTATTCACTACGCCAATTACGTGGCTTAAACACAACTTCTCGTAACCGTTCAACCCACGTGATTTTTATTTCTTCGACTTGCTAGCTTAGTAACCACCTTAGTAACTACCCTGTTGTAATGTCCAGGAAATCTCTAGTAACCCCTTTCTATTCTCTAACCTTCGATCTCCCCTCGACTATGCACATTCCTATGGTCCCCCTTACTCTTCGTTTATGGCAAGTACTCTTCTTGATTCCTTTTTCGAGCGAGTTCTGGAAAAGTGAAAGCCTTTTCGAGAGACCCTAACATACCCATAGCTTTACTCCTATTAACTTTTTAACTTTACATTTCCCAGAATGTATTGGTGCCCTTGTTAAGTTGTTATCTTATGTCCGTTTAGAGTTGTTGGGTTTTCTGATTTTTGTTTTAAAAGACAATTTTGGAAACAAAATATGTTTGAATAAAATGAAGTTGAGTTGGCTTTTTATCTAGTTTTAAAATATTTTTTCTTTACCAGGCTTGTGATTCTTCTTCTAATCCACATCCACTGAATGCATGTCTAACCCAAAAATCATTATTGAGCATGCATAACTATTTAAGAGAAAAGCATTCATGATCCAACAATTTTTTTTTATTTTTATAATTATTCATGATAATCTACTTTGGTATCAAAGTTTACGATATTCATACACAGTTCGATCTATTAAGTTACGCTCCATTTAATCCATTAAGCTACACTACACCTCATTGATACAACAAAATCTAATTATTAGAAAGTAAGAAAATCAACTTGAGACAAATATATAGTGACTTTGCTTGGGTAAATTTATATGCAAACACTTATAAGAAAAGAAAAAAAAAAATGAATTGAACTTCTTGGATAAACTAAAATCAACTTATATATTATAGTTTTGATAAAATTAAATTAAAGAATTTCTATAAAAATTAAGTACATAAATTGATTTTAATTCATAAAAATAATTTATTCATTTATTTATTAAGTATTTATCGAAAAGCTTATTCATCCAACTCAATATGAAGTCGTTAATTGTAAAGTAATGTAACCTGGTAAGATCTGTTCATCACTTATGTATGGGATAATAATCATTTCCTGTTGAAATTAAAATTCTAACGATTTTTTCTTTTTTAAAAAGAGAAAAATACACAGAAACTTATGTACACTCGTGTCTGATCCCATCATCATTCTTCTTATCCATACAATGTCTCTCTCTGGTCCCACAAAAATGTGAACACACACACACACACACTCTGTCTCTCTCGTGGAAGTCGCAGCACTCTCCATGGCGACCACAGCGCACTCCCTACCCTTTCCACTTCTCAAACTCAAGCCACCCTCTCTCCCCAAATCACACTTCCGCCGCACGTTCGTTCCCAAGTCCACTTTCAATGCCTCCCCAAAACGCACCGTTTCGTCCACCACCTTCAGTCCCACGTTCCCACTTAACGGAGCCCGCAAAAGCAGACACGTGGCAGCAAAATCCTCCGAAGCCGACACAGGAAGCGCTTCCACTCCCACCTCGCTCGGCCAAACCGTGAGTCTAACTCACTCTCTCCTTCCACGTGTCGCGTTCTCATTGGGCACGTTTGATTGAGCGGGTCTGTGTTTTTCAGGTGTTTGGGGCGCTCCACTTGGCCGTGTCTCTGGGCCTCATTCTGGCGGTGGATAAGTTTCTGAAGAAAGCGTTTGTGGCCGCTGCTATTAAGTTCCCGAGCGCGTTGTTTGGGATGTTCTGCATTTTCTCGGTTCTGGTTATTCTTGACGCCACCGTGCCCGCTGCGGCTACGGCGGTGATGGGGTTCTTCGAGCCGGCGTTTATGTTCATACAGAGATGGCTCCCTCTCTTCTATGTTCCCTCTTTGGTTGTCTTGCCCCTCGCCGTTAAAGACGTTCCCGCTGCC